TGCAGCCCAACGGTCGGTGTTTGGCCAAGATACTTGGCCACCCTCATTCCAGCTGCTACCTGCTCCTCATTAGGGCATTGCACAACCCTAGCCAGCTGCCCGGTAGCAAACGCGACGTCCGGTCGGGTGTTTACCGCCGCATACATGAGGCTGCCCACCAACGAGTGAAATCGGCGCCTCTCCTCTTCACCAACGCTCTCCTCCTCTGGTCCCTTCACACACTTGAACCCAGAGGGAAAGGGTGTAGCCACATGGCCTTCACTCTGCCCAAAGTTGGCAGCCAATGCCTCCAGGTACTTTCGTTGATGCACCCGCATGCACCGCTTCTCCACATCTCGTTCGATGTGGAGCCCAAGGTAGAAGCTCACGTCACCAAGGGTCTTGCACTTGAACTTGTCTTGAAGCTTCAGCATCACCTCCTTCACAAGGTCAGAAGAGGGTGAGAAAATGAGGATGTCATCCACATAAACCACCATGAAACTCCTCTGCTCCCCCTCGCCAAGCATGAACAAGGAGTGATCGGCCGTTGAGGGAGTGAAGCCGATCCCCTCCAACACTTCGCGCAGCTTCATGTACCATTGCCTAGGGGCCTGCTTCAGCCCATAGAGGGCCTTCTTCAGCTTCCACACTCTGCCACTACCATCATCAAACCCCTCTGGCTGCGCCATAAAAATCTCCTCCTCAAGGATGCCGTTAAGGAATGCCGTTACGATGTCCATTTGCTTTACTACCCATCCTTTGATGGCGGCTCCCGCGAATAGGGTTCGCAGCGTCGTCGGCTTCACCACAGGGGCAAACAGCTCCTTGAAGTCCACCTTCTCCTTTTGCTGGTACCCCTTGGCTACAAGCCTAGACTTGTAGCGCTCGATCTTGCCGTCGGCATCCGACTTGATTTTGAAGAGCCACTTGGACGTTATCGCCGTACGCCCCTCCGGTAGCTCCACCAATTCAAACGTGTCATTCTCCTCGATGCTCTTCAGCTCACTCTCCATGGCCTTCTTCCACTCCTCAGCATCACTACTCTCCAAAGCCTCCTTGAGAGTTGCTGGTTCTCCCGGCATCTCCACCGGAGAGAAGAACGCGAAGGCACACTCCTCGTAGTCACTCTCCTCGTCGTCTCCGACCATCATTGCCGCTCCGGCCAGGGCTGTCTTGCCCTGCTTTCCCGGCGCATCATAGGTCAGCCTATTAGGGGGTTGAACTCTCCTCTTCCCCCTTCCTTCCTCCTCAGCTGCAGGGACTTGAAGGCCTTGGTGTTGCTGCGGTGTGGCTCGAATCCGTGGAGCACTCGTACGGGAAGGGAGTGACGGTGCACGCTCGCTCACTTGCTGCACCTCCTCCTCTTCTTCCTCTGCATCATTGGCCTCCTCTCCCCCATTCACAAGGGAGGATTGCCTTGTGGTTGTGCTGCCGCTGCTCAGTTCCAAAGGCAGCTCCACATGCTCCAAACCGGAACTCTTCACCTCCCCAAACCGCACGCCTATCTTCGCCTCATTCTCCGCCTTCCAATCCTTGTACATGAAGTTCTCCATGAACTTGCAGTCCCTGCTCACCAAGAACTTCTTGGTGAATGGGTCCCAAAGAAGCCATCCCTTGCTGTTTTGAGCCATGCCCAAGTGCACGGCCCACACCGCCTTGGCACCAAGCTTGTTGTGCCGAAGATGCTTAGACAACGAGCGCCATGCACATGCACCTGAACACCCGAAGCATATCCACCTTTGGCTTCCTTCCTAGCCACTCCACATAGGGCACCCATTTGTCTGCTCCCACATGAGTCAAGGCTCTGTTCTTGGCCACACACGCGCTCCGCACCGCATCAGGCCAGAAATAGTCGGGTAGCCCGGCTTCAATGAGCAACCCGCGTGCCGCCTCCGTGATTGTGCGGTTCGCTCGCTCGGCGATGCCGTTCATTGCAGGGGAGTATGGCATGGTGAGGGAGTGCCGAATACCATTCTTCTTCAGCCACAACCCAAACTCCTTGCTCAGGAACTCTCCCCCTCGATCGGTGCGGATTGACTTGACTAGACGGTCTTGTTGCCGCTCCACCATCGGGAACCAATCCGTCTTCAACGTTTCAGCCACGTCGCTCTTCTTGGCCAGCACGTACACCCAAGTCATGCGGGTGTAGACGTCGACAATGGTGAGAAAATACTCAGCTCCAGCAGCTCCAAGCTTCAGGGGGCCCACCACGTCCATCACCACCTCATCAAGCGGTGCCTTTGCCGTTGCCTCCGAACTAGGGAACGGAAACCGGGTGAACTTGGCTTGAATGCACGTCGGGCAGCCAAGCACCTCATCGGGCTCCCCCTTCACACGTATGCCAGCAACCATCTCATTCTTCACTAGCTGCTGCAAGATGGGCAGGGCCACATGCCCCATGCGCCGATGCAAGGTGAGCCAATCACACTCCCCCGTAGCCGAAGTTGGATTGGAGAATGCCGCGCTCGCAATAGCGCCGCACATACTCTCTCCGTAGTCCTCCTCCGCTGCTGCCTCTGGGTTCTCCTCACCCTTTTGCTGCTCCTTGGTTGCTGCACCACTCTCCTTAGGTTCACTGAACTTGCTGGTCCCTCCAGGTTTGCTCTTCTTGAGCTCATTCTCCTTAGCGCGACCGTTTGCGCCATCGTCGCTACCGACCGCTCCATCCTTGGTGCTGATGCTTGCTGCCACTTGCCTCTCCTTAGGCATAGGGACCACTGGGATCTGCCACATCTCGTTGTAGACATCCCTGTCCTCATGAAGGTCCCAAAGAATTCGATCGCCAAGCCTTGCGGTGTAGGTCTTGGCTCCCTTCGAGTTCGTGTCCATGCCGGCCTTTGCCAACCGCCGCACGGAAATCAGGTTTGCAGCAAGGCTGGGCACCCAAAGCACGTTCTTGAGGCCCACCATCTTCCCATCAGCACCCTTGAACATGGCCTTGCCCATGCCTTTCACCTCTGCTCGCTGCCCCAAAGCCGATGTGACATGCTTCACTGGTGACGGCTCGAGTTCGGTGAGCAAGTCCGGGCGAGGTGTCATGCTATAGGTAGCGCCACTATCAATCACCCAATAGTCCAGGGGGTGTAGGGTCACCTTCCCCACAGCTGCTGGCTCCTCAAGGCCTTCATCCTTCTCTGGACCAGCCGGTACTTGCGTCGACACGAAGTAGAATAGACCCGGGTATCGATCGTCGCTCGGGTCCTTGTCGTTGTCTCCGCTCTTCATGTTTGCAGCTCCGCCACCGCGACCGCCACGGCCTCCACGGCCTCGTCCTCTCCCTCCTCCTGCTCCTCTACCCTCTTGGCCTTGAGCAGGGGTCCAACCATCAGGGAGTTTGTAGCAGTCGCGCCACATGTGTCCGCTCTTGTGGCAATAGTGACACTCGCCGTCGAATCGGCCGCGACCGCGTCCGTAGCTCTTGTCGTCGCTGCCGTAACCGCCACTCCTGCGGCCTCCGCCGAAGTTGCTGCCACCAAACCTTCCTCCCCCTCGTCCTCTGCCTCTTCCTCGACCATATCCACGGCCGATGCTCGCTGCCCCAGCGCCATCCGCACTCGCCAACTCACGGCGGCGGAAATCCTCTTGAAGGATAGCTCGCTTCACGTCTTCAAGCGAGAGGCGGGGCAAGTCGCGATTAAGGTTGATGATGAGCGAGGACCATGACTCTGGGAGTAAGGCCAGAAACTTGGTCTTCTTTTGGAGCTCACTGTAGTTCAAATCAGCTCCCTCAAGCCGCGTCAACAAGTCGAAGAATTTCTGCACCCCTTCTTCAACCGCTTCGTCTTCTTCAATTCGTAGTGCCGCCATTTGCCGTTCCAACACCACCGCTACCGCCGCTGTTGCAGGAGCATGTACACCCTTGAGAGCAGCCCATGCCTTTGGTCCTTTCTCTGGTTCACGCTGGAATGGCTTGATGTGACGGATCTGACTGCTCCCCAACGCTTGCCCAAGTAAGAGATAGCCTTGTGCGCTCTTCCGCACCCACGGGCTCTTCTCCGGGTCGTTCTCGGGGCGCTTCTCCGTTCCTTCCATCACCTCCAGCAGGTCATAGTGGTCAAAGATGTTCTCCATCTTGAAGGACCATTCAGCAAAGTTGTCATCGTTGAACTTGTCAAGCCCAAACACCCTAGGCTCATCCCTAGGTGGGCCAAGACTTGGTTGCATGGGCGCCATGGCTGAATCACGGGGTTGGCCTTGAGCTTGAGCTTCTCCACTGCCACCAGCACCTCTGGCACCCCTTTCCTCAGGTCCAGACATTGTCGAAACTGCTCCAAGGGCCTCTGATACCACTTGTTATAGTCACAATAGGCTTGAATGTGCCTAAAACGAAAGATAGAGAGCACAGACGGATTTCTGCACAGCGGCTTCAAACGTTGATAGCGTTCTGCTCACAGCTGCAAATGACTTGATTCAAATTGGATCTGGAGCGTCTTCACGTCGTCTACAATTAGCAATTTAGATTGCACGATTTGATAAAGAATTGACGACACAGCGTCGGTTTGAACGAACGGTACTATGGCAGCCACTATAGTCTTAGAACACAAGATAGGAAGAGTTACGAGTTGGGAATGACTCCCAGCTCCTACAAACCCCAAGAGCCGAGGTACAGTGATGTGGAACAGTGCCACACTGTCCCCAACCACGAAGGGTCTCGAAACTACCCTTCACTAGGGCCTACACCAAGTGAAATGTTACACTACACAAAGTAATGTAACTATCTTCAATATCTTGAGGTGCACCCTTTTGGCGAGCTTCGAAATCACTTGAGGCTTGACACCAAGGCTCGGGCTCTTCATCACAAACTCATCCTTGAGTTCTTGATGGGTCTGCTGCACACACCTGCGACACACTGAACGTTCGACACAGGACAAAATAGAAACCGCGCACGACAAAATAGAAACCGCGCGCGAGACACAAACGACCGCGTAACACGCGTCTAGCGATAACTCGCTATTGACTCGACACACACACTCGACATCATGACTCAACATTCACACACAATTATAAGCATGAAATATATATTATCCCATGCCCTCATACCATTCCATACACACACACACATTCACGCACACGGACAACAAGCCGAGTGCAAACCGTAGGGTTGCACCAACATCGACAGCACACATGGAATGAAGGAATAGTGTCGACAGCACACATGGCATGAAGGAATAGTGTCGACAGCACACATGGCATGAAGGAATAGTGTCGACAGCACACATGGCATGAAGGAATAGTGTCGACAGCACACATGGCATGAAGGAATAGTGTCGACAGCACACATGGCATGAAGGAATAGTGTCGACAGCACACATGGCATGAAAGAATTGTGTCGACAGCACACATGGCATGAAGGAATAGTGTCGACAGCACACATGGCATGAAGGAATAGTGTCGACAGCACACATGGCATAAAGGAATAGTGTCGACAGCACACATGGCATGAAGGAATAGTGTCGACAGCACACATGGCATGAAGGAATAGTGTCGACAGCACACATGGCATGAAGGAATAGTGTCGACATCACACATGGCATGAAGGAATAGTGTCGACAGCACACATGGCATGAAGGAATAGTGTCGACAGCACACATGGCATGAAGGAATAGTGTCGACAGCACACATGGCATGAAGGAATAGTGTCGACAGCACACATGGCATGAAGGAATAGTGTCGACAGCACACATGGCATGAAGGAATAGTGTCGACAGCACACATGGCATGAAGGAATAGTGTCGACAGCACACATGGCATGAAGGAATAGTGTCGACAGCACACATGGCATGAAGGAATAGTGTCGACAGCACACATGGCATGAAGGAATAGTGTCGACAGCACACATGGCATGAAGGAATAGTGTCGACAGCACACATGGCATGAAGGAATAGTGTCGACAGCACACATGGCATGAAGGAATAGTGTCGACAGCACACATGGCATGAAGGAATAGTGTCGACAGCACACATGGCATGAAGGAATAGTGTCGACAGCACACATGGCATGAAGGAATAGTGTCGACAGCACACATGGCATGAAGGAATAGTGTCGACAGCACACATGGCATGAAGGAATAGTGTCGACAGCACACATGGCATGAAGGAATAGTGTCGACAGCACACATGGCATGAAGGAATAGTGTCGACAGCACACATGGCATGAAGGAATAGTGTCGACAGCACACATGGCATGAAGGAATAGTGTCGACAGCACACATGGCATGAAGGAATAGTGTCGATAGCACACATGGCATGAAGGAATAGTGTCGACAGCACACATGGCATGAAGGAATAGCGTCGACAACACACATGGCATGAAGGAATAGCGTCGACAGCACACATGGCATGAAGGAATAGTGTCGACAGCACACATGGCATGAAGGAATAGTGTCGACAGCACACATGGCATGAAGGAATAGTGTCGACAGCACACATGGCATGAAGGAATAGTGTCGACAGCACACATGGCATGAAGGAATAGTGTTGACAGCACACATGGCATGAAGGAATAGTGTCGATAGCACACATGGCATGAAGGAATAGTGTCGACAGCACACATGGCATGAAGGAATAGCGTCGACAACACACATGGCATGAAGGAATAGCGTCGACAGCACACATGGCATGAAGGAATAGTGTCGACAGCACACATGGCATGAAGGAATAGTGTCGACAGCACACATGGCATGAAGGAATAGTGTCGACAGCACACATGGCATGAAGGAATAGTGTCGACAGCACACATGGCATGAAGGAATAGTGTCGACAGCACACATGGCATGAAGGAATAGTGTCGACAGCACACATGGCATGAAGGAATAGTGTCGACAGCACACATGGCATGAAGGAATAGTGTCGACAGCACACATGGCATGAAGGAATAGTGTCGACAGCACACATGGCATGAAGGAATAGTGTCGACAGCACACATGGCATGAAGGAATAGTGTCGACAGCACACATGGCATGAAGGAATAGTGTCGACAGCACACATGGCATGAAGGAATAGTGTCGACAGCACACATGGCATGAAGGAATAGTGTCGACAGCACACATGGCATGAAGGAATAGTGTCGACAGCACACATGGCATGAAGGAATAGTGTCGACAGCACACATGGCATGAAGGAATAGTGTCGACAGCACACATGGCATGAAGGAATAGTGTCGACAGCACACATGGCATGAAGGAATAGTGTCGACAGCACACATGGCATGAAGGAATAGTGTCGACAGCACACATGGCATGAAGGAATAGTGTCGACAGCACACATGGCATGAAGGAATAGTGTCGACAGCACACATGGCATGAAGGAATAGTGTCGACAGCACACATGGCATGAAGGAATAGTGTCGACAGCACACATGGCATGAAGGAATAGTGTCGACAGCACACATGGCATGAAGGAATAGTGTCGACAGCACACATGGCATGAAGGAATAGTGTCGACAGCACACATGGCATGAAGGAATAGTGTCGACAGCACACATGGCATGAAGGAATAGTGTCGACAGCACACATGGCATGAAGGAATAGTGTCGACAGCACACATGGCATGAAGGAATAGTGTCGACAGCACACATGGCATGAAGGAATAGTGTCGACAGCACACATGGCATGAAGGAATAGTGTCGACAGCACACATGGCATGAAGGAATAGTGTCGACAGCACACATGGCATGAAGGAATAGTGTCGACAGCACACATGGCATGAAGGAATAGTGTCGACAGCACACATGGCATGAAGGAATAGTGTCGACAGCACACATGGCATGAAGGAATAGTGTCGACAGCACACATGGCATGAAGGAATAGTGTCGACAGCACACATGGCATGAAGGAATAGTGTCGACAGCACACATGGCATGAAGGAATAGTGTCGACAGCACACATGGCATGAAGGAATAGTGTCGACAGCACACATGGCATGAAGGAATAGTGTCGACAGCACACATGGCATGAAGGAATAGTGTCGACAGCACACATGGCATGAAGGAATAGTGTCGACAGCACACATGGCATGAAGGAATAGTGTCGACAGCACACATGGCATGAAGGAATAGTGTCGACAGCACACATGGCATGAAGGAATAGTGTCGACAGCACACATGGCATGAAGGAATAGTGTCGACAGCACACATGGCATGAAGGAATAGTGTCGACAGCACACATGGCATGAAGGAATAGTGTCGACAGCACACATGGCATGAAGGAATAGTGTCGACAGCACACATGGCATGAAGGAATAGTGTCGACAGCACACATGGCATGAAGGAATAGTGTCGACAGCACACATGGCATGAAGGAATAGTGTCGACAGCACACATGGCATGAAGGAATAGCGTCGACAGCACACATGGCATGAAGGAATAGCGTCGACAGCACACATGGCATGAAGGAATAGCGTCGACAGCACACATGGCATGAAGGAATAGTGTCGACAGCACACATGGCATGAAGGAATAGTGTCGACAGCACACATGGCATGAAGGAATAGTGTCGACAGCACACATGGCATGAAGGAATAGTGTCGACAGCACACATGGCATGAAGGAATAGTGTCGACAGCACACATGGCATGAAGGAATAGCGTCGACAGCACACATGGCATGAAGGAATAGCGTCGACAGCACACATGGCATGAAGGAATAGCGTCGACAGCACACATGGCATGAAGGAATAGTGTCGACAGCACACATGGCATGAAGGAATAGTGTCGACAGCACACATGGCATGAAGGAATAGTGTCGACAGCACACATGGCATGAAGGAATAGTGTCGACAGCACACATGGCATGAAGGAATAGTGTCGACAGCACACATGGCATGAAGGAATAGTGTCGACAGCACACATGGCATGAAGGAATAGTGTCGACAGCACACATGGCATGAAGGAATAGTGTCGACAGCACACATGGCATGAAGGAATAGTGTCGACAGCACACATGGCATGAAGGAATAGTGTCGACAGCACACATGGCATGAAGGAATAGTGTCGACAGCACACATGGCATGAAGGAATAGTGTCGACAGCACACATGGCATGAAGGAATAGTGTCGACAGCACACATGGCATGAAGGAATAGTGTCGACAGCACACATGGCATGAAGGAATAGTGTCGACAGCACACATGGCATGAAGGAATAGTGTCGACAGCACACATGGCATGAAGGAATAGTGTCGACAGCACACATGGCATGAAGGAATAGTGTCGACAGCACACATGGCATGAAGGAATAGTGTCGACAGCACACATGGCATGAAGGAATAGTGTCGACAGCACACATGGCATGAAGGAATAGTGTCGACAGCACACATGGCATGAAGGAATAGTGTCGACAGCACACATGGCATGAAGGAATAGTGTCGACAGCACACATGGCATGAAGGAATAGTGTCGACAGCACACATGGCATGAAGGAATAGTGTCGACAGCACACATGGCATGAAGGAATAGTGTCGACAGCACACATGGCATGAAGGAATAGTGTCGACAGCACACATGGCATGAAGGAATAGTGTCGACAGCACACATGGCATGAAGGAATAGTGTCGACAGCACACATGGCATGAAGGAATAGCGTCGACAGCACACATGGCATGAAGGAATAGCGTCGACAGCACACATGGCATGAAGGAATAGCGTCGACAGCACACATGGCATGAAGGAATAGTGTCGACAGCACACATGGCATGAAGGAATAGTGTCGACAGCACACATGGCATGAAGGAATAGTGTCGACAGCACACATGGCATGAAGGAATAGTGTCGACAGCACACATGGCATGAAGGAATAGTGTCGACAGCACACATGGCATGAAGGAATAGTGTCGACAGCACACATGGCATGAAGGAATAGCGTCGACAGCACACATGGCATGAAGGAATAGCGTCGACAGCACACATGGCATGAAGGAATAGCGTCGACAGCACACATGGCATGAAGGAATAGTGTCGACAGCACACATGGCATGAAGGAATAGTGTCGACAGCACACATGGCATGAAGGAATAGTGTCGACAGCACACATGGCATGAAGGAATAGTGTCGACAGCACACATGGCATGAAGGAATAGTGTCGACAGCACACATGGCATGAAGGAATAGTGTCGACAGCACACATGGCATGAAGGAATAGTGTCGACAGCACACATGGCATGAAGGAATAGTGTCGACAGCACACATGGCATGAAGGAATAGTGTCGACAGCACACATGGCATGAAGGAATAGTGTCGACAGCACACATGGCATGAAGGAATAGTGTCGACAGCACACATGGCATGAAGGAATAGTGTCGACAGCACACATGGCATGAAGGAATAGTGTCGACAGCACACATGGCATGAAGGAATAGTGTCGACAGCACACATGGCATGAAGGAATAGTGTCGACAGCACACATGGCATGAAGGAATAGTGTCGACAGCACACATGGCATGAAGGAATAGTGTCGACAGCACACATGGCATGAAGGAATAGCGTCGACAGCACACATGGCATGAAGGAATAGCGTCGACAGCACACATGGCATGAAGGAATAGCGTCGACAGCACACATGGCATGAAGGAATAGTGTCGACAGCACACATGGCATGAAGGAATAGTGTCGACAGCACACATGGCATGAAGGAATAGTGTCGACAGCACACATGGCATGAAGGAATAGTGTCGACAGCACACATGGCATGAAGGAATAGTGTCGACAGCACACATGGCATGAAGGAATAGTGTCGACAGCACACATGGCATGAAGGAATAGTGTCGACAACACACATGGCATGAAGGAATAGTGTCGACAGCACACATGGCATGAAGGAATAGTGTCGACAGCACACATGGCATGAAGGAATAGTGTCGACAGCACACATGGCATGAAGGAATAGTGTCGACAGCACACATGGCATGAAGGAATAGTGTCGACAGCACACATGGCATGAAGGAATAGTGTCGACAGCACACATGGCATGAAGGAATAGTGTCGACAGCACACATGGCATGAAGGAATAGTGTCGACAGCACACATGGCATGAAGGAATAGTGTCGACAGCACACATGGCATGAAGGAATAGTGTCGACAGCACACATGGCATGAAGGAATAGTGTCGACAGCACACATGGCATGAAGGAATAGTGTCGACAGCACACATGGCATGAAGGAATAGTGTCGACAGCACACATGGCATGAAGGAATAGTGTCGACAGCACACATGGCATGAAGGAATAGTGTCGACAGCACACATGGCATGAAGGAATAGTGTCGACAGCACACATGGCATGAAGGAATAGTGTCGACAGCACACATGGCATGAAGGAATAGTGTCGACAGCACACATGGCATGAAGGAATAGTGTCGACAGCACACATGGCATGAAGGAATAGTGTCGACAGCACACATGGCATGAAGGAATAGTGTCGACAGCACACATGGCATGAAGGAATAGTGTCGACAGCACACATGGCATGAAGGAATAGTGTCGACAGCACACATGGCATGAAGGAATAGTGTCGACAGCACACATGGCATGAAGGAATAGTGTCGACAGCACACATGGCATGAAGGAATAGCGTCGACAGCACACATGGCATGAAGGAATAGCGTCGACAGCACACATGGCATGAAGGAATAGCGTCGACAGCACACATGGCATGAAGGAATAGTGTCGACAGCACACATGGCATGAAGGAATAGTGTCGACAGCACACATGGCATGAAGGAATAGTGTCGACAGCACACATGGCATGAAGGAATAGTGTCGACAGCACACATGGCATGAAGGAATAGTGTCGACAGCACACATGGCATGAAGGAATAGCGTCGACAGCACACATGGCATGAAGGAATAGCGTCGACAGCACACATGGCATGAAGGAATAGCGTCGACAGCACACATGGCATGAAGGAATAGTGTCGACAGCACACATGGCATGAAGGAATAGTGTCGACAGCACACATGGCATGAAGGAATAGTGTCGACAGCACACATGGCATGAAGGAATAGTGTCGACAGCACACATGGCATGAAGGAATAGTGTCGACAGCACACATGGCATGAAGGAATAGTGTCGACAGCACACATGGCATGAAGGAATAGTGTCGACAGCACACATGGCATGAAGGAATAGTGTCGACAGCACACATGGCATGAAGGAATAGTGTCGACTGTTATAGTCACAATAGGCTTGAATGTGCCTAAAACGAAAGATAGAGAGCACAGACAGATTTCTGTACAGCGGCTTCAAACGCTGGTAGCGTTCTGCTCACAGCTGCAAATGACTTGATTCAAATTGGATCTGGAGCGTCTTCACGTCGTCTACAATTAGCAATTTAGATTGCACGATTTGATAAAGAATTGACGACACAGCGTCGGTTTGAACGAACGGTACTTTGGCAGCCACTATAGTCTTAGAACACAAGATAGGAAGAGTTACGAGTTGGGAATGACTCCCAGCTCCTACAAACCCCAAGAGCCGAGGTACAGTGATGTGGAACAGTGCCACACTGTCCCCAACCACGAAGGGTCTCGAAACTACCCTTCACTAGGGCCTACACCAAGTGAAATGTTACACTACACAAAGTAATGTAACTATCTTCAATATCTTGAGGTGCACCCTTTTGGCGAGCTTCGAAATCACTTGAGGCTTGACACCAAGGCTCGGGCTCTTCATCACAAACTCATCCTTTAGTTCTTGATGGGTCTGCTGCACACACATGCGACACACTGAACGTTCGACACAGGACAAAATAGAAACCGCGCACGACAAAATAGAAACCGCGCGCGAGACACAAACGACCGCGTAACACGCGTCTAGCGATAACTCGCTATTGACTCGACACACACACTCGACATCATGACTCAACATTCACACACAATTATAAGCATGAAATATATATTATCCCATGCCCTCATACCATTCCATACACACACACATTCACGCACACGGACAACAAGCCGAGTGCAAACCGTAGGGTTGCACCAACAAACTCCCCCTCGGATTGTTGGCCTTAGGATATGTTGCTCTCTCAGTTCAGAGCCATCCCAGCCAGCTTGCAACACTTCCAATGCTGCTGCTCCACCAGCCTCTTGGTCATCATGTCGGCCGGCTGCCCCGTGGTCTTCACGTAGCGCAACTCAACTTCACCCGCGGTTACCATGCTCCTCGTCCAATGCCACTTCACCCTCATGTGCTTCGTGAGTCCATGCAACACAGGGTTCTTAGCAAGAGCAATGGCACCCTGGCTGTCACAGTACAGTGGGGTAGGTCCTTGCTGCTCCTCCCCCAATTCAGCCAACAAACGCCGCTGCCACACAATCTCCCGTACGGCACGGAAGAGTGCCATGTACTCGGACTCCACCGAGCTCAAAGCTTGGTCAACCTGCTTCTTGCTCTCCCAAGCAGTTGGGCCTCCACCAACACAGCATATGAAGCCTCCCACACTTGTCATGTCCTCTGGTTCTGATGCATATGAAGCATCCGAGTAGGCGGTGAGGAACAAACGCCCGGGTTCAACACCATCCGCGCCCTTTTGGCGCCTTTGTGCCGCCGCCGAGTATTGCAGCCCAACGGTCGGTGTTTGGCCAAGATACTTGGCCACCCTCATTCCAGCTGCTACCTGCTCCTCATTAGGGCATTGCACAACCCTAGCCAGCTGCCCGGTAGCAAACGCGACGTCCGGTCGGGTGTTTACCGCCGCATACATGAGGCTGCCCACCAACGAGTGAAATCGGCGCCTCTCCTCTTCACCAACGCTCTCCTCCTCTGGTCCCTTCACACACTTGAACCCAGAGGGAAAGGGTGTAGCCACATGGCCTTCACTCTGCCCAAAGTTGGCAGCCAATGCCTCCAGGTACTTTCGTTGATGCACCCGCATGCACCGCTTCTCCACATCTCGTTCGATGTGGAGCCCAAGGTAGAAGCTCACGTCACCAAGGGTCTTGCACTTGAACTTGTCTTGAAGCTTCAGCATCACCTCCTTCACAAGGTCAGAAGAGGGTGAGAAAATGAGGATGTCATCCACATAAACCACCATGAAACTCCTCTGCTCCCCCTCGCCAAGCATGAACAAGGAGTGATCGGCCGTTGAGGGAGTGAAGCCGATCCCCTCCAACACTTCGCGCAGCTTCATGTACCATTGCCTAGGGGCCTGCTTCAGCCCATAGAGGGCCTTCTTCAGCTTCCACACTCTGCCACTACCATCATCAAACCCCTCTGGCTGCGCCATAAAAATCTCCTCCTCAAGGATGCCGTTAAGGAATGCCGTTACGATGTCCATTTGCTTTACTACCCATCCTTTGATGGCGGCTCCCGCGAATAGGGTTCGCAGCGTCGTCGGCTTCACCACAGGGGCAAACAGCTCCTTGAAGTCCACCTTCTCCTTTTGCTGGTACCCCTTGGCTACAAGCCTAGACTTGTAGCGCTCGATCTTGCCGTCGGCATCCGACTTGATTTTGAAGAGCCACTTGGACGTTATCGCCGTACGCCCCTCCGGTAGCTCCACCAATTCAAACGTGTCATTCTCCTCGATGCTCTTCAGCTCACTCTCCATGGCCTTCTTCCACTCCTCAGCATCACTACTCTCCAAAGCCTCCTTGAGAGTTGCTGGTTCTCCCGGCATCTCCACCGGAGAGAAGAACGCGAAGGCACACTCCTCGTAGTCACTCTCCTCGTCGTCTCCGACCATCATTGCCGCTCCGGCCAGGGCTGTCTTGCCCTGCTTTCCCGGCGCATCATAGGTCAGCCTATTAGGGGGTTGAACTCTCCTCTTCCCCCTTCCTTCCTCCTCAGCTGCAGGGACTTGAAGGCCTTGGTGTTGCTGCGGTGTGGCTCGAATCCGTGGAGCACTCGTACGGGAAGGGAGTGACGGTGCACGCTCGCTCACTTGCTGCACCTCCTCCTCTTCTTCCTCTGCATCATTGGCCTCCTCTCCCCCATTCACAAGGGAGGATTGCCTTGTGGTTGTGCTGCCGCTGCTCAGTTCCAAAGGCAGCTCCACATGCTCCAAACCGGAACTCTTCACCTCCCCAAACCGCACGCCTATCTTCGCCTCATTCTCCGCCTTCCAATCCTTGTACATGAAGTTCTCCATGAACTTGCAGTCCCTGCTCACCAAGAACTTCTTGGTGAATGGGTCCCAAAGAAGCCATCCCTTGCTGTTTTGAGCCATGCCCAAGTGCACGGCCCACACCGCCTTGGCACCAAGCTTGTTGTGCCGAAGATGCTTAGACAACGAGCGCCATGCACATGCACCCGAACACCCGAAGCATATCCACCTTTGGCTTCCTTCCTAGCCACTCCACATAGGGCACCCATTTGTCTGCTCCCACATGAGTCAAAACTCTGTTCTTGGCCACACACGCGCTTCGCACCGCATCAGGCCAGAAATAGTCGGGTAGCCCGGCTTCAATGAGCAACCCGCGTGCCGCCTCCGTGATTGTGCGGTTCGCTCGCTCGGCGATGCCGTTCATTGCAGGGGAGTATGGCATGGTGAGGGAGTGCCGAATACCATTCTTCTTCAGCCACAACCCAAACTCCTTGCTCAGGAACTCTCCCCCTCGATCGGTGCGGATTGACTTGACTAGACGGTCTTGTTGCCGCTCCACCATCGGGAACCAATCCGTCTTCAACGTTTCAGCCACGTCGCTCTTCTTGGCCAGCACGTACACCCAAGTCATGCGGGTGTAGACGTCGACAATGGTGAGAAAATACTCAGCTCCAGCAGCTCCAAGCTTCAGGGGGCCCACCACGTCCATCACCACCTCATCAAGCGGTGCCTTTGCCGTTGCCTCCGAACTAGGGAACGGAAACCGGGTGAACTTGGCTTGAATGCACGTCGGGCAGCCAAGCACCTCATCGGGCTCCCCCTTCACACGTATGCCAGCAACCATCTCATTCTTCACTAGCTGCTGCAAGATGGGCAGGGCCACATGCCCCATGCGCCGATGCAAGGTGAGCCAATCACACTCCCCCGTAGCCGAAGTTGGATTGGAGAATGCCGCGCTCGCAATAGCGCCGCACATACTCTCTCCGTAGTCCTCCTCCGCTGCTGCCTCTGGGTTCTCCTCACCCTTTTGCTGCTCCTTGGTTGCTGCACCACTCTCCTTAGGTTCACTGAACTTGCTGGTCCCTCCAGGTTTGCTCTTCTTGAGCTCATTCTCCTTAGCGCGACCGTTTGCGCCATCGTCGCTACCGACCGCTCCATCCTTGGTGCTGATGCTTGCTGCCACTTGCCTCTCCTTAGGCATAGGGACCACTGGGATCTGCCACATCTCGTTGTAGACATCCCTGTCCTCATGAAGGTCCCAAAGAATTCGATCGCCAAGCCTTGCGGTGTAGGTCTTGGCTCCCTTCGAGTTCGTGTCCATGCCGGCCTTTGCCAACCGCCGCACGGAAATCAGGTTTGCAGCAAGGCTGGGCACCCAAAGCACGTTCTTGAGGCCCACCATCTTCCCATCAGCACCCTTGAACATGGCCTTGCCCATGCCTTTCACCTCTGCTCGCTGCCCCAAAGCCGATGTGACATGCTTCACCGGTGACGGCTCGAGTTCGGTGAGCAAGTCCGGGCGAGGTGTCATGCTATAGGTAGCGCCACTATCAATCACCCAATAGTCCAGGGGGTGTAGGGTCACCTTCCCCACAGCTGCTGGCTCCTCAAGGCCTTCATCCTTCTCTGGACCAGCCGGTACTTGCGTCGACACGAAGTAGAATAGACCCGGGTATCGATCGTCGCTCGGGTCCTTGTCGTTGTCTCCGCTCTTCATGTTTGCAGCTCCGCCACCGCGACCGCCACGGCCTCCACGGCCTCGTCCTCTCCCTCCTCCTGCTCCTCTACCCTCTTGGCCTTGAGCAGGGGTCCAACCATCAGGGAGTTTGTAGCAGTCGCGCCACATGTGTCCGCTCTTGTGGCAATAGTGACACTCGCCGTCGAATCGGCCGCGACCGCGTCCGTAGCTCTTGTCGTCGCTGCCGTAACCGCCACTCCTGCGGCCTCCGCCGAAGTTGCTGCCACCAAACCTTCCTCCCCCTCGTCCTCTGCCTCTTCCTCGACCATATCCACGGCCGATGCTCGCTGCCCCAGCGCCATCCGCACTCGCCAACTCACGGCGGCGGAAATCCTCTTGAAGGATAGCTCGCTTCACGTCTTCAAGCGAGAGGCGGGGCAAGTCGCGATTAAGGTTGATGATGAGCGAGGACCATGACTCTGGGAGTAAGGCCAGAAACTTGGTCTTCTTTTGGAGCTCACTGTAGTTCAAATCAGCTCCCTCAAGCCGCGTCAACAAGTCGAAGAATTTCTGCACCCCTTCTTCAACCGCTTCGTCTTCTTCAATTCGTAGTGCCGCCATTTGCCGTTCCAACACCACCGCTACCGCCGCTGTTGCAGGAGCATGTACACCCTTGAGAGCAGCCCATGCCTTTGGTCCTTTCTCTGGTTCACGCTGGAATGGCTTGATGTGACGGATCTGACTGCTCCCCAACGCTTGCCCAAGTAAGAGATAGCCTTGTGCGCTCTTCCGCACCCACGGGCTCTTCTCCGGGTCGTTCTCGGGGCGCTTCTCCGTTCCTTCCATCACCTCCAGCAGGTCATAGTGGTCAAAGATGTTCTCCATCTTGAAGGACCATTCAGCAAAGTTGTCACCGTTGAACTTGTCAAGCCCAAACACCCTAGGCTCATCCCTAGGTGGGCCAAGACTTGGTTGCATGGGCGCCATGGCTGAATCACGGGGTTGGCCTTGAGCTTGAGCTTCTCCACTGCCACCAGCACCTCTGGCACCCCTTTCCTCAGGTCCAGACATTGTCGAAACTGCTCCAAGGGCCTCTGATACCACTTGTTATAGTCACAATAGGCTTGAATGTGCCTAAAACGAAAGATAGAGAGCACAGACGGATTTCTGCACAGCGGCTTCAAACGTTGATAGCGTTCTGCTCACAGCTGCAAATGACTTGATTCAAATTGGATCTGGAGCGTCTTCACGTCGTCTACAATTAGCAATTTAGATTGCACGATTTGATAAAAAATTGACGACACAGCGTCGGTTTGAACGAACGGTACTATGGCAGCCACTATAGTCTTAGAACACAAGATAGGAAGAGTTACGAGTTGGGAATGACTCCCAGCTCCTACAAACCCCAAGAGCCGAGGTACAGTGATGTGGAACAGTGCCACACTGTCCCCAACCACGAAGGGTCTCGAAACTACCCTTCACTAGGGCCTACACCAAGTGAAATGTTACACTACACAAAGTAATGTAACTATCTTCAATATCTTGAGGTGCACCCTTTTGGCGAGCTTCGAAATCACTTGAGGCTTGACACCAAGGCTCGGGCTCTTCATCACAAACTCATCCTTGAGTTCTTGATGGGTCTGCTGCACACACCTGCGACACACTGAACGTTCGACACAGGACAAAATAGAAACCGCGCACGACAAAATAGAAACCGCGCGCGAGACACAAACGACCGCGTAACACGCGTCTAGCGATAACTCGCTATTGACTCGACACACACACTCGACATCATGACTCAACATTCACACACAATTATAAGCATGAAATATATATTATCCCATGCCCTCATACCATTCCATACACACACACACATTCACGCACACGGACAACAAGCCGAGTGCAAACCGTAGGGTTGCACCAACATCGACAGCACACATGGAATGAAGGAATAGTGTCGACAGCACACATGGCATGAAGGAATAGTGTCGACAGCACACATGGCATGAAGGAATAGTGTCGACAGCACACATGGCATGAAAGAATAGTGTCGACAGCACACATGGCATGAAGGAATAGTGTCGACAGCACACATGGCATGAAGGAATAGTGTCGACAGCACACATGGCATGAAGGAATAGTGTCGACAGCACACATGGCATGAAGGAATAGTGTCGACAGCACACATGGCATGAAGGAATAGTGTCGACAGCACACATGGCATGACGGAATAGTGTCGACAGCACACATGGCATGACGGAATAGTGTCGACAGCACACATGGCATGAAGGAATAGTGTCGACAGCACACATGGCATGAAGGAATAGTGTCGACAGCACACATGGCATGAAGGAATAGTGTCGACAGCACACATGGCATGAAGGAATAGTGTCGACAGCACACATGGCATGAAGGAATAGTGTCGACAGCACACATGGCATGAAGGAATAGTGTCGACAGCACACATGGCATGAAGGAATAGTGTCGACAGCACACATGGCATGAAGGAATAGTGTCGACAGCACACATGGCATGAAGGAATAGTGTCGACAGCACACATGGCATGAAGGAATAGTGTCGACAGCACACATGGCATGAAGGAATAGTGTCGACAGCACACATGGCATGAAGGAATAGTGTCGACAGCACACATGGCATGAAGGAATAGTGTCGACAGCACACATGGCATGAAGGAATAGTGTCGACAGCACACATGGCATGAAGGAATAGTGTCGACAGCACACATGGCATGAAGGAATAGTGTCGACAGCACACATGGCATGAAGGAATAGTGTCGACAGCACACATGGCATGAAGGAATAGTGTCGACAGCACACATGGCATGAAGGAATAGTGTCGACAGCACACATGGCATGAAGGAATAGTGTCGACAGCACACATGGCATAAAGGAATAGTGTCGACAGCACACATGGCATGAAGGAATAGTGTCGACAGCACACATGGCATGAAGGAATAGTGTCGACAGCACACATGGCATGAAGGAATAGTGTCGACAGCACACATGGCATGAAGGAATAGTGTCGACAGCACACATGGCATGAAGGAATAGTGTCGACAGCACACATGGCATGAAGGAATAGTGTCGACAGCACACATGGCATGAAGGAATAGTGTCGACAGCACACATGGCATGAAGGAATAGTGTCGACAGCACACATGGCATGAAGGAATAGTGTCGACAGCACACATGGCATGAAGGAATAGTGTCGACAGCACACATGGCATGAAGGAATAGTGTCGACAGCACACATGGCATGAAGGAATAGTGTCGACAGCACACATGGCATGAAGGAATAGTGTCGACAGCACACATGGCATGAAGGAATAGTGTCGACAGCACACATGGCATGAAGGAATAGTGTCGACAGCACACATGGCATGAAGGAATAGTGTCGACAGCACACATGGCATGAAGGAATAGTGTCGACAGCACACATGGCATGAAGGAATAGTGTCGACAGCACACATGGCATGAAGGAATAGTGTCGACAGCACACATGGCATGAAGGAATAGTGTCGACAGCACACATGGCATGAAGGAATAGTGTCGACAGCACACATGGCATGAAGGAATAGTGTCGACAGCACACATGGCATGAAGGAATAGTGTCGACAGCACACATGGCATGAAGGAATAGTGTCGACAGCACACATGGCATGAAGGAATAGTGTCGACAGCACACATGGCATGAAGGAATAGTGTCGACAGCACACATGGCATGAAGGAATAGTGTCGACAGCACACATGGCATGAAGGAATAGTGTCGACAGCACACATGGCATGAAGGAATAGTGTCGACAGCACACATGGCATGAAGGAATAGTGTCGACAGCACACATGGCATGAAGGAATAGTGTCGACAGCACACATGGCATGAAGGAATAGTGTCGACAGCACACATGGCATGAAGGAATAGTGTCGACAGCACACATGGCATGAAGGAATAGTGTCGACAGCACACATGGCATGAAGGAATAGTGTCGACAGCACACATGGCATGAAGGAATAGTGTCGACAGCACACATGGCATGAAGGAATAGTGTCGACAGCACACATGGCATGAAGGAATAGTGTCGACAGCACACATGGCATGAAGGAATAGTGTCGACAGCACACATGGCATGAAGGAATAGTGTCGACAGCACACATGGCATGAAGGAATAGTGTCGACAGCACACATGGCATGAAGGAATAGTGTCGACAGCACACATGGCATGAAGGAATAGTGTCGACAGCACACATGGCATGAAGGAATAGTGTCGACAGCACACATGGCATGAAGGAATAGTGTCGACAGCACACATGGCATGAAGGAATAGTGTCGACAGCACACATGGCATGAAGGAATAGTGTCGACAGCACACATGGCATGAAGGAATAGTGTCGACAGCACACATGGCATGAAGGAATAGTGTCGACAGCACACATGGCATGAAGGAATAGTGTCGACAGCACACATGGCATGAAGGAATAGTGTCGACAGCACACATGGCATGAAGGAATAGTGTCGACAGCACACATGGCATGAAGGAATAGTGTCGACAGCACACATGGCATGAAGGAATAGTGTCGACAGCACACATGGCATGAAGGAATAGTGTCGACAGCACACATGGCATGAAGGAATAGTGTCGACAGCACACATGGCATGAAGGAATAGTGTCGACAGCACACATGGCATGAAGGAATAGTGTCGACAGCACACATGGCATGAAGGAATAGTGTCGACAGCACACATGGCATGAAGGAATAGTGTCGACAGCACACATGGCATGAAGGAATAGTGTCGACAGCACACATGGCATGAAGGAATAGTGTCGACAGCACACATGGCATGAAGGAATAGTGTCGACAGCACACATGGCATGAAGGAATAGTGTCGACAGCACACATGGCATGAAGGAATAGTGTCGACAGCACACATGGCATGAAGGAATAGTGTCGACAGCACACATGGCATGAAGGAATAGTGTCGACAGCACACATGGCATGAAGGAATAGTGTCGACAGCACACATGGCATGAAGGAATAGTGTCGACAGCACACATGGCATGAAGGAATAGTGTCGACAGCACACATGGCATGAAGGAATAGTGTCGACAGCACACATGGCATGAAGGAATAGTGTCGACAGCACACATGGCATGAAGGAATAGTGTCGACAGCACACATGGCATGAAGGAATAGTGTCGACAGCACACATGGCATGAAGGAATAGTGTCGACAGCACACATGGCATGAAGGAATAGTGTCGACAGCACACATGGCATGAAGGAATAGTGTCGACAGCACACATGGCATGAAGGAATAGTGTCGACAGCACACATGGCATGAAGGAATAGTGTCGACAGCACACATGGCATGAAGGAATAGTGTCGACAGCACACATGGCATGAAGGAATAGTGTCGACAGCACACATGGCATGAAGGAATAGTGTCGACAGCACACATGGCATGAAGGAATAGTGTCGACAGCACACATGGCATGAAGGAATAGTGTCGACAGCACACATGGCATGAAGGAATAGTGTCGACAGCACACATGGCATGAAGGAATAGTGTCGACAGCACACATGGCATGAAGGAATAGTGTCGACAGCACACATGGCATGAAGGAATAGTGTCGACAGCACACATGGCATGAAGGAATAGTGTCGACAGCACACATGGCATGAAGGAATAGTGTCGACAGCACACATGGCATGAAGGAATAGTGTCGACAGCACACATGGCATGAAGGAATAGTGTCGACAGCACACATGGCATGAAGGAATAGTGTCGACAGCACACATGGCATGAAGGAATAGTGTCGACAGCACACATGGCATGAAGGAATAGTGTCGACAGCACACATGGCATGAAGGAATAGTGTCGACAGCACACATGGCATGAAGGAATAGTGTCGACAGCACACATGGCATGAAGGAATAGTGTCGACAGCACACATGGCATGAAGGAATAGTGTCGACAGCACACATGGCATGAAGGAATAGTGTCGACAGCACACATGGCATGAAGGAATAGTGTCGACAGCACACATGGCATGAAGGAATAGTGTCGACAGCACACATGGCATGAAGGAATAGTGTCGACAGCACACATGGCATGAAGGAATAGTGTCGACAGCACACATGGCATGAAGGAATAGTGTCGACAGCACACATGGCATGAAGGAATAGTGTCGACAGCACACATGGCATGAAGGAATAGTGTCGACAGCACACATGGCATGAAGGAATAGTGTCGACAGCACACATGGCATGAAGGAATAGTGTCGACAGCACACATGGCATGAAGGAATAGTGTCGACAGCACACATGGCATGAAGGAATAGTGTCGACAGCACACATGGCATGAAGGAATAGTGTCGACAGCACACATGGCATGAAGGAATAGTGTCGACAGCACACATGGCATGAAGGAATAGTGTCGACAGCACACATGGCATGAAGGAATAGTGTCGACAGCACACATGGCATGAAGGAATAGTGTCGACAGCACACATGGCATGAAGGAATAGTGTCGACAGCACACATGGCATGAAGGAATAGTGTCGACAGCACACATGGCATGAAGGAATAGTGTCGACAGCACACATGGCATGAAGGAATAGTGTCGACAGCACACATGGCATGAAGGAATAGTGTCGACAGCACACATGGCATGAAGGAATAGTGTCGACAGCACACATGGCATGAAGGAATAGTGTCGACAGCACACATGGCATGAAGGAATAGTGTCGACAGCACACATGGCATGAAGGAATAGTGTCGACAGCACACATGGCATGAAGGAATAGTGTCGACAGCACACATGGCATGAAGGAATAGTGTCGACAGCACACATGGCATGAAGGAATAGTGTCGACAGCACACATGGCATGAAGGAATAGTGTCGACAGCACACATGGCATGAAGGAATAGTGTCGACAGCACACATGGCATGAAGGAATAGTGTCGACAGCACACATGGCATGAAGGAATAGTGTCGACAGCACACATGGCATGAAGGAATAGTGTCGACAGCACACATGGCATGAAGGAATAGTGTCGACAGCACACATGGCATGAAGGAATAGTGTCGACAGCACACATGGCATGAAGGAATAGTGTCGACAGCACACATGGCATGAAGGAATAGTGTCGACAGCACACATGGCATGAAGGAATAGTGTCGACAGCACACATGGCATGAAGGAATAGTGTCGACAGCACACATGGCATGAAGGAATAGTGTCGACAGCACACATGGCATGAAGGAATAGTGTCGACAGCACACATGGCATGAAGGAATAGTGTCGACAGCACACATGGCATGAAGGAATAGTGTCGACAGCACACATGGCATGAAGGAATAGTGTCGACAGCACACATGGCATGAAGGAATAGTGTCGACAGCACACATGGCATGAAGGAATAGTGTCGACAGCACACATGGCATGAAGGAATAGTGTCGACAGCACACATGGCATGAAGGAATAGTGTCGACAGCACACATGGCATGAAGGAATAGTGTCGACAGCACACATGGCATGAAGGAATAGTGTCGACAGCACACATGGCATGAAGGAATAGTGTCGACAGCACACATGGCATGAAGGAATAGTGTCGACAGCACACATGGCATGAAGGAATAGTGTCGACAGCACACATGGCATGAAGGAATAGTGTCGACAGCACACATGGCATGAAGGAATAGTGTCGACAGCACACATGGCATGAAGGAATAGTGTCGACAGCACACATGGCATGAAGGAATAGTGTCGACAGCACACATGGCATGAAGGAATAGTGTCGACAGCACACATGGCATGAAGGAATAGTGTCGACAGCACACATGGCATGAAGGAATAGTGTCGACAGCACACATGGCATGAAGGAATAGTGTCGACAGCACACATGGCATGAAGGAATAGTGTCGACAGCACACATGGCATGAAGGAATAGTGTCGACAGCACACATGGCATGAAGGAATAGTGTCGACAGCACACATGGCATGAAGGAATAGTGTCGACAGCACACATGGCATGAAGGAATAGTGTCGACAGCACACATGGCATGAAGGAATAGTGTCGACAGCACACATGGCATGAAGGAATAGTGTCGACAGCACACATGGCATGAAGGAATAGTGTCGACAGCACACATGGCATGAAGGAATAGTGTCGACAGCACACATGGCATGAAGGAATAGTGTCGACAGCACACATGGCATGAAGGAATAGTGTCGACAGCACACATGGCATGAAGGAATAGTGTCGACAGCACACATGGCATGAAGGAATAGTGTCGACAGCACACATGGCATGAAGGAATAGTGTCGACAGCACACATGGCATGAAGGAATAGTGTCGACAGCACACATGGCATGAAGGAATAGTGTCGACAGCACACATGGCATGAAGGAATAGTGTCGACAGCACACATGGCATGAAGGAATAGTGTCGACAGCACACATGGCATGAAGGAATAGTGTCGACAGCACACATGGCATGAAGGAATAGTGTCGACAGCACACATGGCATGAAGGAATAGTGTCGACAGCACACATGGCATGAAGGAATAGTGTCGACAGCACACATGGCATGAAGGAATAGTGTCGACAGCACACATGGCATGAAGGAATAGTGTCGACAGCACACATGGCATGAAGGAATAGTGTCGACAGCACACATGGCATGAAGGAATAGTGTCGACAGCACACATGGCATGAAGGAATAGTGTCGACAGCACACATGGCATGAAGGAATAGTGTCGACAGCACACATGGCATGAAGGAATAGTGTCGACAGCACACATGGCATGAAGGAATAGTGTCGACAGCACACATGGCATGAAGGAATAGTGTCGACAGCACACATGGCATGAAGGAATAGTGTCGACAGCACACATGGCATGAAGGAATAGTGTCGACAGCACACATGGCATGAAGGAATAGTGTCGACAGCACACATGGCATGAAGGAATAGTGTCGACAGCACACATGGCATGAAGGAATAGTGTCGACAGCACACATGGCATGAAGGAATAGTGTCGACAGCACACATGGCATGAAGGAATAGTGTCGACAGCACACATGGCATGAAGGAATAGTGTCGACAGCACACATGGCATGAAGGAATAGTGTCGACAGCACACATGGCATGAAGGAATAGTGTCGACAGCACACATGGCATGAAGGAATAGTGTCGACAGCACACATGGCATGAAGGAATAGTGTCGACAGCACACATGGCATGAAGGAATAGTGTCGACAGCACACATGGCATGAAGGAATAGTGTCGACAGCACACATGGCATGAAGGAATAGTGTCGACAGCACACATGGCATGAAGGAATAGTGTCGACAGCACACATGGCATGAAGGAATAGTGTCGACAGCACACATGGCATGAAGGAATAGTGTCGACAGCACACATGGCATGAAGGAATAGTGTCGACAGCACACATGGCATGAAGGAATAGTGTCGACAGCACACATGGCATGAAGGAATAGTGTCGACAGCACACATGGCATGAAGGAATAGTGTCGACAGCACACATGGCATGAAGGAATAGTGTCGACAGCACACATGGCATGAAGGAATAGTGTCGACAGCACACATGGCATGAAGGAATAGTGTCGACAGCACACATGGCATGAAGGAATAGTGTCGACAGCACACATGGCATGAAGGAATAGTGTCGACAGCACACATGGCATGAAGGAATAGTGTCGACAGCACACATGGCATGAAGGAATAGTGTCGACAGCACACATGGCATGAAGGAATAGTGTCGACAGCACACATGGCATGAAGGAATAGTGTCGACAGCACACATGGCATGAAGGAATAGTGTCGACAGCACACATGGCATGAAGGAATAGTGTCGACAGCACACATGGCATGAAGGAATAGTGTCGACAGCACACATGGCATGAAGGAATAGTGTCGACAGCACACATGGCATGAAGGAATAGTGTCGACAGCACACATGGCATGAAGGAATAGTGTCGACAGCACACATGGCATGAAGGAATAGTGTCGACAGCACACATGGCATGAAGGAATAGTGTCGACAGCACACATGGCATGAAGGAATAGTGTCGACAGCACACATGGCATGAAGGAATAGTGTCGACAGCACACATGGCATGAAGGAATAGTGTCGACAGCACACATGGCATGAAGGAATAGTGTCGACAGCACACATGGCATGAAGGAATAGTGTCGACAGCACACATGGCATGAAGGAATAGTGTCGACAGCACACATGGCATGAAGGAATAGTGTCGACAGCACACATGGCATGAAGGAATAGTGTCGACAGCACACATGGCATGAAGGAATAGTGTCGACAGCACACATGGCATGAAGGAATAGTGTCGACAGCACACATGGCATGAAGGAATAGTGTCGACAGCACACATGGCATGAAGGAATAGTGTCGACAGCACACATGGCATGAAGGAATAGTGTCGACAGCACACATGGCATGAAGGAATAGTGTCGACAGCACACATGGCATGAAGGAATAGTGTCGACAGCACACATGGCATGAAGGAATAGTGTCGACAGCACACATGGCATGAAGGAATAGTGTCGACAGCACACATGGCATGAAGGAATAGTGTCGACAGCACACATGGCATGAAGGAATAGTGTCGACAGCACACATGGCATGAAGGAATAGTGTCGACAGCACACATGGCATGAAGGAATAGTGTCGACAGCACACATGGCATGAAGGAATAGTGTCGACAGCACACATGGCATGAAGGAATAGTGTCGACAGCACACATGGCATGAAGGAATAGTGTCGACAGCACACATGGCATGAAGGAATAGTGTCGACAGCACACATGGCATGAAGGAATAGTGTCGACAAGCACACATGGCATGAAGGAATAGTGTCGACAGCACACATGGCATGAAGGAATAGTGTCGACAGCACACATGGCATGAAGGAATAGTGTCGACAGCACACATGGCATGAAGGAATAGTGTCGACAGCACACATGGCATGAAGGAATAGTGTCGACAGCACACATGGCATGAAGGAATAGTGTCGACAGCACACATGGCATGAAGGAATAGTGTCGACAGCACACATGGCATGAAGGAATAGTGTCGACAGCACACATGGCATGAAGGAATAGTGTCGACAGCACACATGGCATGAAGGAATAGTGTCGACAGCACACATGGCATGAAGGAATAGTGTCGACAGCACACATGGCATGAAGGAATAGTGTCGACAGCACACATGGCATGAAGGAATAGTGTCGACAGCACACATGGCATGAAGGAATAGTGTCGACAGCACACATGGCATGAAGGAATAGTGTCGACAGCACACATGGCATGAAGGAATAGTGTCGACAGCACACATGGCATGAAGGAATAGTGTCGACAGCACACATGGCATGAAGGAATAGTGTCGACAGCACACATGGCATGAAGGAATAGTGTCGACAGCACACATGGCATGAAGGAATAGTGTCGACAGCACACATGGCATGAAGGAATAGTGTCGACAGCACACATGGCATGAAGGAATAGTGTCGACAGCACACATGGCATGAAGGAATAGTGTCGACAACACACATGGCATGAAGGAATAGTGTCGACAGCACACATGGCATGAAGGAATAGTGTCGACAGCACACATGGCATGAAGGAATAGTGTCGACAGCACACATGGCATAAAGGAATAGTGTCGACAGCACACATGGCATGAAGGAATAGTGTCGACAGCACACATGGCATGAAGGAATAGTGTCGACAGCACACATGGCATGAAGGAATAGTGTCGACAGCACACATGGCATGAAGGAATAGTGTCGACAGCACACATGGCATGAAGGAATAGTGTCGACAGCACACATGGCATGAAGGAATAGTGTCGACAGCACACATGGCATGAAGGAATAGTGTCGACAGCACACATGGCATGAAGGAATAGTGTCGACAGCACACATGGCATGAAGGAATAGTGTCGACAGCACACATGGCATGAAGGAATAGTGTCGACAGCACACATGGCATGAAGGAATAGTGTCGACAGCACACATGGCATGAAGGAATAGTGTCGACAGCACACATGGCATGAAGGAATAGTGTCGACAGCACACATGGCATGAAGGAATAGTGTCGACAGCACACATGGCATGAAGGAATAGTGTCGACAGCACACATGGCATGAAGGAATAGTGTCGACAGCACACATGGCATGAAGGAATAGTGTCGACAGCACACATGGCATGAAGGAATAGTGTCGACAGCACACATGGCATGAAGGAATAGTGTCGACAGCACACATGGCATGAAGGAATAGTGTCGACAGCACACATGGCATGAAGGAATAGTGTCGACAGCACACATGGCATGAAGGAATAGTGTCGACAGCACACATGGCATGAAGGAATAGTGTCGACAGCACACATGGCATGAAGGAATAGTGTCGACAGCACACATGGCATGAAGGAATAGTGTCGACAGCACACATGGCATGAAGGAATAGTGTCGACAGCACACATGGCATGAAGGAATAGTGTCGACAGCACACATGGCATGAAGGAATAGTGTCGACAGCACACATGGCATGAAGGAATAGTGTCGACAGCACACATGGCATGAAGGAATAGTGTCGACAGCACACATGGCATGAAGGAATAGTGTCGACAGCACACATGGCATGAAGGAATAGTGTCGACAGCACACATGGCATGAAGGAATAGTGTCGACAGCACACATGGCATGAAGGAATAGTGTCGACAGCACACATGGCATGAAGGAATTGTTGGTGCAACCCTACGGTTTGCACTCGGCTTGTTGTCCGTGTGCATGCATGTGTGTGTGTATGGAATGGTATGAGGGCATGGGATAATATATATTTCATGCTTATAATTGTGTGTGAATATTGAGTCATGATGTCGAGTGTGTGTGTCGAGTCAATAGCGAGTTATCGCTAGACACGTGTTACGCGGTCGTTTGTGTCTCGCGCGCGGTTTCTATTTTGTCGTGCGCGGTTTCTATTTTGTCCTGTGTCGAACGTTCGGTGTGTCGCAGGTGTGTGCAGCAGACCCATCAAGAACTCAAGGATGAGTTTGTGATGAAGAGCCCGAGCCTTGGTGTCAGGCCTCAAGTGATTTCGAAGCTCGCCAAAAGGGTACACCTCAAGATATTGAAGATAGTTACATTACTTTGTGTAGTGTAACATTTCACTTGGTGTAGGCCCTAGTGAAGGGTAGTTTCGAGACCCTTCGTGGTTGGGGACAGTGTGGCACTGTTCCACATCACTGTACCTCGGCTCTTGGGGTTTGTAGGAGCTGGGAGTCATTCCCAACTCGTAACCCTTGCTAACTCTTCCTATCTTGTGTTCTAAGACTATAGTGGCTGCCATAGTGCCGTTCGTTCAAACCAACGCTGTGTCGTCAATACTTGGTCGAATCGTGCGATCTAAATTGACTATTGTAGGCGACATTAAGACGCGCCAGATCCAAGTTGAATCAGGTCATTTGAAGCCGTGACCAGAACGCTATGAACGTTTGAAGCCGCTGTGCAGAAATCCGGCTGTGCACTCTATCTTTCGTTTTAGGCACATTGGAGCCTACTGTGACTATAACAAGTGGTATCAGAGCCCTTGGAGCAGTTTCGACAATTGCTGGACCTGAGGAAAGGGGTGGCAGAGGTGCTGGTGGCAGTGGAGAAGCCCAAGCTCAAGGCCAACCCCGTGACTCAGCCATGGCGCCCGTGCAACCAAGTGTTGGCCCATCTAGGGACGAGCCTAGAGTGTTTGGCCTTGACAAGTTCAACGGTGACAACTTTGCTGAGTGGTCCTTCAGAATGGAGAACGTGTTTGATCACTATGACCTGCTGGAGGTGATGGAAGGAACGGAGAAGCGCCCCGAGAACGACCCGGAGAAGAGCCCGTGGGTGCGGAAGAGCGCACAAGGCTACCTCCTACTAGGGCAAGCGTTGGGGAGCAGCCAGATCCGTCACATCAAGCCTTTCCAGCGTGAACCAGAGAAGGGACCAAAGGCATGGGCTGCTCTCAAGGGTGTACACGCTCCTGCAACAGCGGCGGTAGCTGTGGTGTTGGAACGGCAAATGGCGACACTACGAATTGAAGAGGATGAAGCGGTTGAAGAAGGGGTGCAGAAATTCTTCGACTTGTTGACGCGGCTTGAGAGAGCTGATTTGAACTATAGTGAGCTCCAAAAGAAGACCAAGTTGCTGGCCCTACTCCCTGAGTCATGGTCCTCGCTCATCATCAACCTTAATCGCGACTTGCCCCGCCTCTCGCTTGAAGACTTGAAGCGAGCTATCCTTCAAGAGGATTTCCGCCGCCGTGAGTTGGCGAGTGCGGATGGCGCTGGGGCAGCGAGCATCGGCCGTGGATATGGTCGAGGAAGAGGCAGAGGACGAGGGGGAGGAAGGTTTGGTGGCAGCAACTTCGGCGGAGGCCGCGGGAGTGGCGGTTACGGCAGCGACGACAAGAGCTACGGACGCGGTCGCGGCCGATTCGACGGCGAGTGTCACTATTGCCACAAGAGCGGACACATGTGGCGCGACTGCTACAAAATCCCTGATGGTTGGACCCCTGCTCAAGGCCAAGAGGGTAGAGGAGCAGGAGGAGGGAGAGGACGAGGCCGTGGAGGCCGTGGCGGTCGCGGTGGCGGAGCTGCAAACATGAAGAGCAGAGACAACGACAAGGACCCGAGCGACGATCGATACCCGGGTCTATTCTACTTCGTGTCGACGCAAGTACCGGCTGGTCCAGAGAAGGATGAAGGCCTTGAGGAGCCAGCAGCTGTGGGGAAGGTGACCCTACACCCCCTGGACTATTGGGTGATTGATAGTGGCGCTACCTATAGCATGACACCTCGCCCGTGTTAGAGACTAAGGACGGAGTCTATGAAGATTAGGAGCCAAAATATCTCAACATCGTTGGGCCTAGTTTCTGAACAGAAAAGTCGAGTTCACAAGAAACGCCGTCGACGAAAAGTGCACTGTCAAAACTTCACTAAACTTATATATGTTGTAGCCCTACTCCGTGGCTACAATTCCCAAGTTGAAACGTATCAAGAGGTGAAGTAAATCTCGACTTATCAATTTCGGCGCACAGGGGGGTATGCTGCCATAAGAACTTAACTCAATCACAAAGTTCACACAAGTTCACACAAGAGAATTGGAGTAGCACTAAACCAGGTGGAAGGGATGAGGAGGACGAGAGGGAACGTCCCAAGGAGTCCCCAACCAAAGGAAACTCCATGCCACACAATTCCCTTCCCCAAAGGCAACCCAACTTTGACCTTTGTCACTATCCCAACCTCCACAATCCACCTCAACCCAACTTGGCCACACTTGCCAACCTGGTTTGGTTTCTCCCAACCATTTGGCAGCAACTACAGTAGAAAAGACGAATTTCCCAACCCCCAAAAGTCTGTACCCCATATTGAGTCAACCCCACAACTTCCCATAGTCACCACAACCAAATATCAAAAGCATACGAACTCCAACGTTCGTAACTTTCTTGTTCGTGCTCCGATTGAAGCGATACTTGGTTCCTCGGAAAGCTCTTGAGCAGAGGAGTCACTTCAGATACCTGCTCAAGCCAAATAACATTCACACACACACTCAGAAAAACCAAACCGCACAAAACACAAATTCTTGCACACACTCACAACACGCATGCAACGCACGAACATATGATGGGAGGCAGACAGACGTGAATGCGAATGGTAGCATCACTCAACAAACTCCCCCTCTGGCTGCCAACCATCATCCCACATGCCATAGCTCAAGCATGCATCCTCAATGCACACTCATTCCAGCAAGCTTCATGCCCTTCCAATGCTCAGATTCAGCCAGGCGCTTGGTGAGAATGTCAGCCGCCTGCTGATGGGTCTTCACAATCTCCAGCCGCACCTCCTTGTCCAGGAGCCTTCTCACCCAGTGCCACTTAGGCCTGATGTGTTTGGTCAGCCCATGAAGACAAGCATTCTTCGCTAGGTTCACCGCCGACTCATTATCACAGAAAATCACAGTCGGCTCCCTCTGACCAACTCCAATCTCCTCCAACAAACGCCTCAGCCACACCACCTCCTTTGCCCCATGATGCAGGGCCATGTACTCTGTCTCACACGAGGACTGCCCCACCTCATTCTGCTTCTTACTGCGCCAGCTCACTGCACCACCTCCGAACAGGCACACATAGCCTCCAATGCTGGTGCCATCCGCTTTCACCGAGTTGAAGCTAGCGTCAGTGTAGCAGGTCAGGAGCATCTCCCCCTTGCTCAAATCAGCTGCACTCCTCTGCAGCCTCTGCCTCACAGCACTGTACTCCAAACCCACTGATGCCGTTGCACTCACATAGCGGACCAACCTCTTGGCCGCTTCCAGCTGCTCATGACTGGGGCGTGAAACCACACTGGCAAGCCTGGATGTTGCAAAGGCAATGTCAGGCCGTGTGTGGTTAGCCGCATAGTTGAGTGCCCCAACCATGGAATGAAAAAGTTTCCTGTCACTCTCACCCACCACCTCCTCATCAGCACAGGGCTCCACAGTGAACCCCGAAGGCAGTGGGGTGGCTGGCTTTCCTCCATCTTGCAGCCCATACTTCTCAGCCAGCCCCTCACAATACTTTCTCTGGTGCAACCTCAACACTCCCTTGTCAAGGTCCCTCTCCACATGCATCCCTAAATAGTACTTCACATCTCCCATCTTGGAGCACTTAAACTGCATCTCCAGCATCTCCTCCACATGCTCAATCATTGCAGACGACTCAGAGAAGAGCAGGATGTCATCCACATACACCAGGAGCATGAGAAACTGCTCCTTCTCCTGCAGCAAGAACAAGCTGTGATCACACTCACTCTTCTTGAAACCCCCAGCCAGCAGAGTCTCCTCTAACTTGTGGTACCATGCACGAGGAGCCTGCTTCAGGCCATAGATGGCCTTCTTCAGCCTGCACACCCTGCCGCTCCCATCATCCAAACCCTCAGGCTGTAACATGTACAGCTCCTCCAGAATGATCCCATTGAGGAAGGCGGTGGTGATGTCCATCTGCTTCACCCGCCATCCACGGTTTGCTGCCATTGCCAATGACACCCGAAGTGTTGTGCCTTTCCCCACAGGAGCATAGAGCTCGTTGAAGTCCTTTCCCTTTGTCTGCTGAAACCCTTTAGCCACAAGCCTTGACTTGTAGCGGGTCAGCGCCCCATCAGGTCCGTACTTGTGCCTGAAAATCAGCTTGGAAGAAATGGCCTTCTTCCCAGGTGGCAGCTCACACAGCTCCCACGTCTCATTCTCTAGCAGAGAATCATACTCCTCCTTCACACTCTGCTTCCACTTTTCAGCATCGGGCCCGCTCAATGCCTCAGCTAGCGTCTTGGGCTCAGGGACGGCTGCCCAGTAGCAGTGTGCTATCTCATCCTCATCACACTGCTCAGCCACACTCCCAGCCCTTACCACCTTTGGCTTGCCACGGCTTGCATAGGTCAGCCTGTTAGGAGGGCGCACATCCCTCCTAGGACGGTCAGCCGTACGTCCGGCACCTTGTGGAGCACCTTGCTCCTCCTCCTGCTGCTGCTGCTGCTGCTGCTGCTGCTGCTGCTCCACCTCAGGTTCTCCCCCATCATCAGTCACCCCAGAGATCTCCTCCTTGGAGACAGAAACCTCCACCTGCCTCGAAGGCCGCTGCACCTCATCGGCCTCAATGATCAG